GTGGCGCAGACACCACACGCACTTAGTGTTGGAGGTTCGAGACCATCCGGAGAGACCACTTCTCCTTCTAGAAAATCAACCACTGACAATCCCGGAGTAGTTCTACCCACACGGAATGTCGCAACAGCCAGAGCCGACTTGACAGCACCACGCACGCACGCCACAGTCGATGAGCCGTCTAGCTGCGCCCTCACACAGACCACAGTCACGCCCCGTGGGTTCCCATGACAAAGCACAGAACTGCCGCCCCTCCAGCTGCACTCCCCCACACTTACCCGCTGCGGGGTCCGGGTTGAGACGGCAGTACTTGGAGTTGTCCAGCGAGGGCAGGCACTGCCCAATGGGCACCCAGGCATACGTCTCCGGACACAACAAGTCAGAAGGTCTGTACTGACCCTGCGGAGGCGTGAAGTTAAGAGGGTAGGTGTTACTAATAGTCACATTCCCCCACTCCTGAAAAGGCTCCAGAGTTCCAGGAAGGGTGTTCATCATATGTTTTAAACAAAGTTCAGTCAGACGTAGCTTCACTGTAAACACCTTATACAGTCGTGTATAAGCCGAGTTTTTTCAGCACATTTTTAATGCAGTTTTTGCAGTAACACTTGGTGCCTTGGCTGATATTCGGGTCAGCTTATACTTGAGTATAAATGGTATACGTGACCCTCCCTGCTTGGCAGTGCTTTCCTATCCCGAAAAAGCAAGTTTGAGGAAAGGCTCTCTGTGACCTGGAAGGCCGACCGAGTGCTCCCTCCCAAGGGGCTGCGCCCTCCACACAGGGGCTTCTTGCGAAGCCGCTGGTCAAAGCAACTGTCTGTAAATCGCAAGTCATCTTCCAGTCACCCAATGAGGCTTCTTTTCATGTCAGAGCACTGTAAAGTGAGCCTACTCCCCAAGCAGAATGGCACCGTCCAGAAGTACACACTTATTCTTTCTTTAAATCATTTTATTGGGGGCTCATACAATTCTTACCACAATCCGTCCATACATCCATTGATCTTTTCATTTTATAGATGCAGCTCATCCTATCCATTCTAGTCTAATGTATTTTAAAAGGCTTCTCAATATACTCCCATGCCAATCTGAACTGATAAATGTACTAAATAACTT